TACTCCACTACTTAGAAACAAACAAATTGCTCGACCTATACCAGTGCGGGTTTAGAGAGGGCCGATCTACCACCGACCTTCTTATGTGTATCGAGGCACACATACGTGAGGCATTGTTCATAATCAGTTTTTCTTATCTGTGTTCCTCGACATGGAGAAGGCCTACGTGGAGGTTTGGAATATTGAGAGACCTCTCACACATAGGTATACACGGTAATATGTTCAGTGTCATTGAAAGCTATCTGTCTGATTGTACATTCCGTGTTAGAGTGAGCAATGTTCTGTCCCAAACATTTGTACAGGAAACCGGACTGCCACAGGTTGGGGTGCTCAGCTGTACGCTCTTTATTATAAAAATGAATTCTCTCCGTCTGTACATCCCACTTGATATCTTTTATTCAACATATGTCGACGATGTGCAGATAGGTTTTCAATCGTGTTCTCTTGGGATCTGTGGGCGATAGGTTCAGCTTGCCCTTAACAAGGTATCCAAATGGGCTGATGAAAACGGGTTCAAGCTGAACCCACAGAAAAGCACCTGTGTCCTTCTTTCACGAAAAAGATGCTTGCACCCTGATCCTGAAGTGGTCGTTAAGGGTGAGCGTCTACCCGTAAACACAGAACATAAGTTCCTAGGTATAATTTTAGATACTAAGTTAACCTTTGTACCGCACATAAAACATCTTAAAAATAACTGCTTGAAAACAATGAATATCCTAAAAGTGCTGTCACGAACAACGTGGGGCAGCGACAGAAAGTGCCTCATGAATCTGTATAGAAGCCTTATACGCTCACGCCTTGAGTATGGGGCAATAGTCTATCACTCTGCCACGCCAAGCGCTCTGAAAATGTTGGACCCTGTTCATCATCAAGGCATCCGCCTGTCCACAGGCGCCTTTAGAACAAGCCCAGTTGAAAGCCTTTATGTGGAATCGGACGAGAGGTCACTCTATCTGCAGAGAACATATTCTTCCTTCATATATTTCCTTAAAGTAAATGCGAACAGTGAGCAACCCGCAAATTCCACCATCAACGACCTGTCCAGCTCTCAACTTTTTTGCAATCGGCCCGCAATGGCACGCCCTTTCTCGCTGCAGACTGTGACACATCTTTCGTAGCTGTCACAAAGCATGCCTCCCCCATACACATTCGGATGTATTTCTTAGAGTTGCAACATAAATATGACTGTCCAGAATAATATACTGATGCATCCAAGTCCCATACTGGCGTGTCCTATGCGGTGGTCGGCCCATCAAGGATGCCAGCGTTCTGTCCATTAGCACAAGCATTTTTACAGACGAGGCTTACGCGTTATTCATAGCCGTTAAACACATCATGAATACGCCAAGGGTAGTTATATACACAGACTCCCTGAGTGTCGTAAAAGCATTGAAAAATCTAAAAGAACACAGAAACCCTATAATTATATCCCCCTATTCAATACTCTGCGCGGCCTATGCTTCCAAGCAACATATCGTCGTGTGCTGGGTGCCAGGACACCGCGAGATTGAAAGAAATGTGTTGGCTGACCAGCTCGCCACGTCAATCAATGGAAGCACTGCCAACTCTTCAGTTGCTGTCCCTATAATGGACCTAAAACCAAACATACGGAAAAAGCTCAGGGCTTACTGACAGAAGCTATGGGATCTACAAACTCATAACAAGTTACACTTGATCAAACCATACCTCGGTAACTAGCCACCCACGTCGAAAACGCGCCGTACAGAGGTCAGTCTCGGTCAGCTTAGAATAGGACACACACACAGCACGCACACACACCTTTTGTCCGGTGGTGACCCACCTAGCTGTCACAGATGTGGCCGTCTACTTACCGTACTCCACATACTCCTTGAATGCTCTGAGCTAGAGGCTTACAGGGAAAAATATTTTCTACTAGCGTACAAGGAACACATACCCCTTCATCCAGCTATGTTTATTGGTAGCGAACCTCTTTTTAAATATAATGCATTGAATGCATTCTTAAAGGAAGTAAATACTTTCCATGTTATCTACTCAAGTGATCGGTAGCATGGCCTCTGAAAAGAGGCTGCTGCTGCGGATGCTACATCCAAAGAGAGCACCTGTCTCCCGGCCCTTGGGACTAAGGGCGCTGGCGAGGTATCGGTGCTAATATAACACTCCTATTCAATGGTGTCATGATAACTTAAGACTCATTATCACCAGGCATGCTTCACTTCACTGTCATGATTTTAAAAAATAATGTCTTACGCACCTTTAGAGTGCAGAATCTTAGGCCCTTTTACAGCCATTTAACATAACCATTGCTCCGATCCGATATCATTTCTTGGCGCTCTTTGGCCATCAATGACCCTTGCGCCATAAAACAACATATATCATCATCATACTGCATTTTCGGGGGTCATGCACATTTATATCTTCATACCTGCCAAGCCTCCTGGATTGTGGGGGAGACTTCTGCATTTTGACCGTTTCTTCCATTTGTATGATTGTCATGAAAATCTCCCAGAAATAGAAATTTCTGTGCGCGATCTGACTGCATTGACAAAAATGTTGGTCAGTCCGCTTCAGGCTTTTTGCAAACCCACCGCATTTTATCTTAAACCAATTTAGGAGCCGTTCATCAAACAGTGATGCATTACCGTGGCAAATTCGAATTCAAGAAATTTCCCAGCCGAATTCCACTGTGTTCATTGAGTCAAGTTTTGAATGTTTTGTACACTTTTTCCTAATCGCGGCGTGTGATATTACCTTTAGTACCGAAACTGTCGAACGAAAGCTGATCAAGACCAGCATGCTCGAAGCTTCAAAAGTACGCATGCGACCAGCACAAGCACTGTCTTCTACACTGCGTGTGGTTGTTGCCAAAACCGCTGTGGACGAAACCGCAGTCATTCTTGATACGATCATGTATGGGGACGACGCTACTGACAGAACTCCGAAAGTGTGCGTACGTCCAATGCTCGCCCAGTCAAAGGAACGCTGCTTTCCGCAAATTCTGTGGACAAAACCGCGGCAGATGCGATCATAGATAGATAGCATAAAACAACTTAGTTTTGAAGGCACATGTGCAGCCAACGCACACGGATTAAAAACAGTACTACAGTTTGCCGTAACCACCGTGCACAAAGCCGTGGTAGCGACGACGCAACAGCAATCTATGAGCTCCGAGGGCACGTGGCTAACGCAGCGGTAGATTAAAGGCAGTAAAGACATAAGAAAAAAAAGGGTTAGTAGCGTTCTGGCGTTCCTGTCCAAAGAATCTAGTAGCGAGCAAGGCCAGAGCTTTGACCCGCGCTTTCGCGGCAGCCAGCTGCGCCAGTCCCGTCCGTTCATGTGCGTCCCAGGTGGACATACGAGAGTTGTTTCGATGGAAATAGATTTAGTTGTTTTGATGAGGCAAAGTTTCGGGAGAATTTGTGCTCTCCCATTGAGAGGCTCACCTTAGCGGAAAACCTACCTCGTGTGTTCGGCCACTCCAAGCCACCACTAGACCGCAACGCCGATGTTGGCGCTTGCGATTGGGACCTCCCCTCCCCCTCTTTTTTTTCTTTCTCGCGTGATGTTTGTTTGTTTTGGTGCCAAAAAGGCAGTGCTCATGTGCACACTGGTTTTTCTGCTCATGTAGCCAGCTATGTTTGAAATTGCAGCTGTGACTGGGCAGCATAAACCCATCTCCTAATAACCACAGCCCTCTTCAGCAAACGAGCTTTCCAGCCGTGATAAGTTGGTCGTTGGCTACCTATAGAAAAAAAAAAAAAATTGTGTCAGTGTGCCTTTAAGTCAACTTGAGTTATTTTAAATTTTGTATTGCTTAGGTGTGACTCATTGGCACAAATTCCTTGACCCTGTCCTTACGACAGCACCTTTCTCTAACCGAATGGTAGGTCCTTACATGTTGTGGGAGCCATGCCTATCACCAGGTCGCTTTAGTAGTGCCATGTGCTGCTTAGTAGCCATGTGCGTGGCCAACTCACAGGTTTTCAAAACGGTGGGCGTTGCGGGGCCTGGGCATTCGGCAGTGAACTGCTGTGTGCATGGGAGTGGTGTGCCTGCATAATTGTGTCGTGTAGCATTTTTCATAGTTGTGAGTTAGTGTAAATAAATGTTTATTTTGTGAGTTTAACCAGCAAGTATCATTTCCTTGCCAGCAAGGTGGCACGAACCCTTCAACAGTGCTAATGAAGGGAAGCGTGAATAGAAAAGCAGGCATAGGCATGCACAGGGTTCTTCATAACGGTGAGCTAAGTTTTCCCCTCCCCCCATCGTTTAAATTTGAAGGGAAACAAGCTTCACAGTGAATGCAAAAAGAAACATGAGGCACTGATGTGCAGCTTCTCACAGTAGCTTGCCTTTGGTCCTTCTGTCTGGGTGTCAAGCTGGGGAGGAAGTCAGCAGTACTTGGCAGTCCGACTCCTCTAGCCCATTTATCGTCAGAAGCTTCCGTGGCTCTGCTTTACACAATGAGGGGATTTATTCGACCGAGTTGGGTGGGGGGGGGGGCACCTCCTTCAGAGCCCTGTGTGTGTGTATGCCTATACGAGCATGCATTTGTTGAGGCTTTGCCATGGCACTGGTGCACTCACAAAATATGATCACCATGGCATTGATATGAAGCGGGTGTCGGCAACCTTTTGAGGCGGGATGCCAAATTGCTTGAAGCTAACACTGTGGGGGGCCGCACTGATAGTTGGAGGGCTGGGAAGTACATTGCCGGCAAAGCGTAAGAACGGGCCGATAGGATGCTTACTTATAAAATGTGTTTCGAAATCATGTTTAACTTAAGCATGCACATCACAAAGTTGCAATCAAGCATATGTTGCAAGTGCAAATACCATTTTAGGTCAAAACTCCCGGGTGGACATTCATATAGGAAGTGGTAAGGGAAAGGGGGTTCGACACCATGCCGGGAACCGCACAAGTTTGCCACGCAGGCCACGACCCCTGGTCTAAAGTATTCAGGGGATACTGTTGGTGCTGGGCACAGCTTAAAGATGCCATTCTTATTCACCAATGTGCAGGGTGGACGAGGCTCACAGGCATGTGCTGGAATACCTGCTTTCCTGCTACGACCGTGCTGGCCAAAAAGAGAGGACCAACACGCGAGTAAGTTTTCACTGCTGTTAACACTTTCGTGACCCCTGCAGGGGCGTCTGCGCAAGCAAGCGTTTGGTGCGTAGCGACACTATGGACCCGAGCTAACGGGGGAGTTTTGACTCCCTCTCACGCCTAGCCGTGCGTGGCTGAGCCGTGTGCAGGGACAAGGGGATTCCGGGGGTCGAGCTGCTGACGGGTGATTAAACCTTTAAGGCCCCCCGGCGGAGGCAACAAACCCCTCTGGCCTTGGCTTCACGTAGACGGCCCCCCTGAACTGACCCACCCAGGGGAAATCGGCAGTTGCCTTTTTCAATCTCTCCCCCCCTCATATTCGTCTTTATCTCTCACTTTTTATCTTGTCAACTTCTTCCTTCTGTTTACTTCCGATTTCTCCTGGCGGCAAGGGTTCACCCTGTGCAAATAGCCTACCTTGGTCTAGGCGCATCGGGTTAACTTATGACGGTGTTGTATGGCTAGCATCTGTGAGCTTTCAGCATCCGCAAACTCGCAGCGTCCTCTCGTTCTGCTCCGTGGTGGGTGCCCGCCAATGCTGCTGAACAACATACGACAAGCATATATAAAGCATTCCCCTTGCTTAGTGATTGTGCCTCCTCAAAGCGGGTACGCACCAAAGACTTCAATTGTTTCAACCTGTGAAGAGAAATATTCCCTCACTTCCATATTATACACTGCAAGAAAAGTAATAAGCTAGCCAGAACTGTATCCCCCTTCGTAGGTGCTAGGTGTCTAACAGAAACTCTCGGTGCCGGGTACAAGGTTACCAAATTGGCCAGCAGAGATCTGCTTCTTGATATGCGAGAAAAAGACCAGTTTGAAAAGTTGAACTGTCTTTCAACTTTTAACGACACATCAATGAGTATTATACTGCACAGGTCTATGAACTCAGCTCGTGGGGTAGTATCGGACGCAGATTTGCTTGACCTGACCAAAACTGAACTTCTGGATGGAAGGATGCAAGAGCCAGAACGTGACCATTGTACAGCGAAATAAAATAAAAAAGAGGCAGTAAGGAAACACCAACTAAACAATATTGACGTTTGCTTCGAGCGATCTGCCAAAAATCATTCAAATCGTGTATACAAAGACTTCCGTGAGGCCATATATTCCTAACTACCGCCGGTCCTTTCCATGTCAGAGAAATGGCCACGGCTCGCAAAGCTGTCCTGGTCACCAAACTTGTGCACAATATGGATTGTCAGGCCACAATTTTGACAACTGCAAAGAACCGTCACACTGTGTGAACTGTGGTAGAAATCATGCTGCATACTCATGGTACTGTTCATTCTGGAAAAAAAGAAAATGAGATCATCACAGTGGCTTTAAGAAAACAACAATTCGCCGAGAATTCTCTCAGAGGAATGCAGACAGACGCAGCTCTACATGCTATGCAGAAAGATCCCGTCGGCGGAACTTTCTTGGCAATCAGCTCCTGCGCCGAGGGCGAAATTGGTGAGCGCGATGCTCGCAGTGACGTCACACTGTTTGCTAACAGGAAGAGGTATATTACATCGCCAGTTGGGCCCTCATAATTGCGAATTGTCATTTTGTGCATCGGCAGCGGACCTTGCGGCCAAGATCACCATGCATTGACGACTCAGAGCGGCAATGGCAGTTGTGTTTTACTTCAGTGCCCCAAAACGCAAGACCATGCATACTGTGTGCAGATTTTTTGTTGTCATAGCTAGGCATAATTGATCATTAACACACTGGTTATCAGCAGCTTTTCTTCTTAAATCGGTATCTTGATATTCACGGTGCACGGTTTCTATCTCTGAAGTATGCTAAGCGATCTTTGAAGTCGTAAGTTATTGAGTTTGTGATATCTGTTGGTGAAAAGTTCATTATAAAGGGTTTTTGACCATCTCCCTGACCTGACATCTTAGTCAATTATAACTGAATGTCTGGTACCAGCATCCTTAGCAAACGAAGCTCAATCAATTAGAACAAATAGGGAGGTCGGCATAACGATGTCAGTTGGTATGTCCGTTGCAAGCAGATCTGTTGTAACGAGGTTATACTGTATTTAGAAAAAGTTAATGCAGTAGAATCTCGATGATACAAATTCAAAGGGAGCACACAAAATATTCGTATGATCCCGAATTGGTATCACATGAAAACAAGTGAAACCTGATGTTGAAGATGAACAAGAACTTTATTGGAGTCTACTACTTGCTGAAAAAATTACTACATGATGTTCTTCTGAACTTTCCTGCCTTCACAGTCTGTCAATAAAGTGGCGCGGTTTACTCACTCATGCTGCTGGCGCGGGGCATCAATGGGAGAGAAAGCAGCAAAACTCATTTGAACTTAACTCACTTCGCAGTTTATGTGGCCAGATAATTGCACCGCTAAGTCGACATAAAAATAATCAGTCCTGAAAAATTCAAGCGAAAATGCCAGAGAGACCGAAAAACCATGTCCGCGACCGTCATAAACCGCCGCCATTGCCACTTGAGAATTAATTTCATTTTGGCCATTTCTTGAACATTAAAGTTCGTACCCAATTCTAGTTATGCACACAAAGCACTGAAAAGAAACAGTTTACACCATTACAAACATTGTTTCTGAAGATACGCCAGCAGAAACGACATGAGCAAACATAGCGGCAGTAGTGAATTCAGCCTGCAGTGAAAAGCGAAACATGTTAAGGCATGCCGACTCGCTGTTGCTGCACCTTCTTCTGCTTCCAGTGTTGTCAGCATACCTGTTAAGTCTCCCGGATTGGCTGGGAGGCTCCCGAATTTCGACCGTTTTTTCCGGTTGTGCAGTTGTCATAAAAATCTCCCGGAAATCGAAATTTGTGTGCGTGATCTGGCCGCATTGACAAAAAAGCAGTTCAATCCACTCCAAGCTTTTTAGACCTACCCCATTTTATTATGAATGAGTATAAGAGGCGTTCATGTAAACGTACAGTATAATCTCAGTGATGCGAAACCGCGGCAGATACGAATTCTTGAAATTCACCAGCCTAATTTTATTATGTTTATTGGGCCTCAATTCGAATGCTCTGAACACATTTTATAATCGCGGCAGGTGATACGAAATTTCGTACGGAAACTGTCGAACTAAGGCCGAGAGCAGCGTACTCGGAGCTTCGGAAGTACTTATGCGGCCGGCTCACGCACTGTCTTCTACAGTGCATGTGATTGTCGTTGCCACAACCGCTGTGGACGAAACCGCGGTCGCTCTTGACACGATCATGTATGGTAACGACGTAACTGACAGAACCCCGAAAGTGTGCGCTCTACCAGTCAAAGCAATGCTGCTTTCCTCAAACTCTGCGGACAAAACTGCGGCAGATGCTATCCTACATGGCATAAAATGACTTAGGTTTTAAGGCGCGTGCGCAGCGAAGCGCACGGGCATGGTAAAAGAAACTACTGTTTGCCGCGACCGCCGCGCACAAAACCGCGTTCGCGGCGACGTGATAGCCATCTACGAGCTCAGAGGGCACGCAGCGGAGGGTAAAGGCAGTAAATACCTAAAAAAAAGTTTGTTTTGCCGCAAGGGCAAAACAATAAATGCGGCAGCAACAACTTTGAATGTAACGCTGAGAACGGCAAGCAGATCGAAAACGTCCAGCGCGCTGCTCTCGCACAAATGACGCACGAAAATGATACTCGCAGGACGAGAATGAACTAACATAGTTTACAGCTCGGCACGTAACGCGCTGTTTAAACAAAAACGATGCACTATACGTAATCACAGGTACAAATGAGTACAAACTAGCAAGTGTCCCAGTTGTTATACCTCGCTGTGTTTAAAAAGCGCGCTGTTTTCGCAAAAGGGGCCTGTGCAGAGACCAAAGTCACCTTTGTGGGCCCGGCAACTAACGCTTTCGTTTCAGTGAAAAGCCGAAGGCACACGATTCCCCCACCAAAAGATAAGCGCGCATGCACAGGCATCCATCCATGGGGCAAAGTACATGTGAGAGATAAGCACGCCCCGGTGCATTACGACGAGCTCGGCACCGAGCGCGGGTGGCTTTTTTCTTCATGTGTTCATATAAATAGATACGTATACATATACTGTGAAGGGCGGCGGCGGTCGTGACGGCAAAAAAAAAAAAAAAACAGTCTGGACTGTCCATATAATCGCTATCGCAATAAAAAGGGGCCAGACGCGTTTTGGCGTTCCTGTCAAAAGAATCTAGTAGTGAGCAAAGCTCTGACCCACGCTTTTACCGCTTTTGCGGCAGCCAGCTGCGCCGTCCCATTCGTTTACGTGTGTCCCAGGAAGACACACGCAAGTTGTTTTGACTGAAATCATCATCATCATCAGCCTGACTACGTCCACTGCAGGACAAAGGCCTCTCCCATGTTCCGCAAGTTAACCCGGTCCTGTGCTTGCTGCTGCCAATTTATACCCGCAAACTTCTTAATCTCATCTGCCCACCTAACCTTCAGTCTCCCCCTAACCCGCTTCCCTTCTCTAGGAATCCAGTTAGTTACCCTTAATTGGATTGGATTGGATAAACTTTTATTTGGTCCTCCAAAACACAGATCACTGTGTTGCGGGCAGCTCCCACGTGGGGACTGAGATGCCAAGCTCCTCAGCTGCCTCGCGGGCTTGGTGGACAGCCCAGAGCTGATCTGCCGAGGACGAGCTGCGGATTGCCGCCTCCCATCTGGCAGAGGTGATGTGCGATAAATGAGCAAATTTGGTGCACTGCCAGAGCATGTGTTCTAATGAAGCTATTTCCTCACAATGTGGACAAAGATTACTTGGGTATAGGTCAGGGTACATGATGTGTAACATTTTCAAAGTAGGGTACATCCGCGTTTGCAAAAGCCCTAATGTAAGTGCTTGGGGCCGGGTTAGATTTTTGTGAGGTGGAGGGAAAATCCTTCTAGACAGGTAGAAATGTTTAGTGAGCTCGTTATATGTTGTAAGAATTTCCCGGTTATCCCCTTCACCGGTAGAACGCATCCCCGGGGAGGCGCGGTTGGAGAGTTCTCGCGCCGCCTCGTGTGCTGCTTCGTTGAGAT